TGATTGATAATACAACTTTTATCAGCCCATAGGAGTGAATTAGGATATATCCTTTTCACAATGCTGTCACATAACATGCCACTTTCATGAGTGTGTAAAAGCTTGAACTTAGCCCCTTTGCACCAACGTCACACAAATATGCTGCCTCACAGAACTGGACTTTTTTCCGTGGGGCCGCATATTTGCATACCTTTCTGTGGAGACTGTGTCATTGAGAGCCCCGGGTCCCATTCTAGTGATTGGAACCTGGGACTCCCGATTCCAGGTCACATGATCGCTGTGATAGCCTTTGATGTGATAGCCAGTGATCAGTCACTGTTTAGCCCACCCCCCTTGTTTTTTTTTCTCTATATGAACGGAGCAGAGAGATACATCGTATCTCCCTAACTTCTTGCATAGAAAAAATAAATGCTTGTTACAAAAACAAACAAAAACTTAAATAAATATTTAAAAATAAAAAAAAATAAAAGAAAAAAATACCTAGATCAAGGTTTGATGTAGTTCAGTGTCAGGGTTAGTGTTTGGGTCAAGGTCAGGGTCAAAGGTCAAGGGCAAAAGGTCAAGGGCAAAAAGTCAAGGTCATAGGTCAGTATTTTTTTAAAAAATTGGTATTCGTGTCAGTTAGTGTCAGTGTCAGTGTGTTTTAGGTAAAAAAAAAAACACAAAATGCGCATTATTGTTTCTGGGATGTATTATGGGTACAAAAACAACAAATAACATACACATATATGGCATCAAAGCTATCGTCAAGAGCTGGAGAATTTATTTGGGGTTGTTCTGTCATGGTAGGTTATGGTAGTAACAATAAACACACAGCTAAATTACAAAAACTATTTTGTTTACTATTTTGGGGCAGTTTTCCTTTGATAATAAAAACAAATCAGGAAATATCCATGACCATTTACCACCAAATGAAAGCCCAATTTGTCCTGAAAAAAAAACAAGGTATAATTCACCTGGATGTACAAAATAGTTGTGATGATATCTACGGTTTTACTAACACATGTCAACGTTTCAAAATTGTGCTTAGGCATTAAGATTTGTTTTACCCTTAGGCGTGAAGGGGTTAAAGTGAAATCATAACACCCGATGGAAATTATGTCTCAATTCTCAGCCAAAGCCAATACAATATACACATGTCTTTCAGCATTAAAGTGGTTCTAAAGTTTTTTTTTTAATTATCTTATACTTACTTGCCATGGTATTCCACATATAGGCCCTGAGCCTCTGTTTCTGGGGCCCCCCACTGGCGCTCTAGGCTCTTTTTCTTCTTCAAAATGCCCCTACAGCAAGCTGCTTCCTATGGGGGAACTTGTGTATGCTCTCTGCTGAGCTGGGCTGTGTGCGGCTATTGACACACACAGGGCGTGGCTTGGCTCCACCCCCCACTCTTTCCTCACTGAATTTTGCCAGTCATTCCCTGTGTGAAGAGGAATAGAGGAGAGAAGACTGAAGCCAGGCACAGGGCTTTCTTGATCCAGGAGTGAGATAAGTGTTTAGATGGAGTGTAGGGCACAGCAAGTTCTAAAATGTTTTTCATGTTAATGCAGGGAATACATTAAGGTAAAAAAGTTTTAGCTTTAGAACCGCTTTAAGGGGATGACAGGCATTGCTCTCAAAATACAAATCTAGTGATGAAAGTGGGTGAACAGTTACGTTTTTATGGATATTTCTGCTTGTTGATTTGATACCACTAATAGTAATTTTTTTAATTAAAGCGGCACTGAAACAAATCCCCCAATGCAATCAATTAATACCTGAGGTCAGTGCAGGATGTGTGTGCTAATGAGATCAGCTGGTAATCTGTTTCCGAGGTCCTACTAGCTCCTCTGTCCCTTGTCTACATTCCAGGAATTGAAAAAGCTTTTTAAGAAATTTACTAAAGGCCTAGTCCAACCATCCGCAGAGTTCTTTACAGAGTAGAGGGAAGCTGCTATCATCCAAGAGGTACCCAGGAATGAATCCATATCAGATGGGAGAAGCCCCCTTTAAGACACTCCAACTGACCTACTGAGATATTGTTTTCTCAAATGCTCAATAACTTTGTGCATCTGGTGAGTGCGCAATTTATTTATTTATCACCAGAAGTGTTTGGGAAGAAATTCTCATTACCATATTTCATATCCTGACCATCACGTGGACTTTTGTTTGTGTACCGTACACATGATTCCATTTTATTAATTTTTTACCGCATGATGTATACTGTTGGTTTTATAAGCGCTGCACCTTTATTTATATTTTAAATTAATACCTGCCTCAATGCCTGTGTTGCTGAACCCTGCTGGATTGAAAAGAAAGCTTTCTCCAAGCACTTCTCCATTCCATTCTTCAGGTTCTTCACTGCATTCTGTGGTTTTGCCTAGCCTATTTCACAGGGGGGCACAGGGACCAACAAAAGGAACAACAGCATGCAGCAGAGGAAGAAGCACACAGGAGTGTATAGATGCTGAAGATACTTGAGCAAACTTCTATCTTTCACCTTGCAGCAGGACAGGTGAGTGATAATTGAGTGTATTGCAGGAAAGAATAGGCTTCAGGTTTAAAAACATTCAGCAGCCACTTTTAAAATTTATAGCATACATGAAGGCTGGGTTTACACCATTGCAATACATCAAAGCACCATTTTACCAAGTGCTGCCCTAAAACAATCCTTCTTAACAAAGGAAGTAATGCCGAAATAATATTTTTAAGCACCAGAGGAATTTCATAGCAGGCACATCATTTGTAGTTCCTACTGTGAAAAAACTCCCAAAGTCAATGTATTATGGTCTAGAATTCCTACTAGCTCCAGCAGTTAGGCACATTACATACCCTTGCTCACCTCTTCTACTTTGTTTTCGATCTATCACTTTGATACAAAACTTCACTTGATAATAGTGGCGTACAGGAGCTGGGAAGGGAAAGTCCAGAATTTTGACCTGCTATTTGCATATCGGAGTGCTCCAGGCTTAGGGGTTCCTGAGGCACTCAACAGGAAAGAATAACTGATTCTATAGAATTTCTCTTTGATGTTGTCAATCCTAAATCAGGCTCTCAAATGAACCTTTTTTTCCTACAGCATACTTTTTATATCTGCTAAGTACTGCAGCAAGGGTTAAAAAAACCCTCTGTTGGCAGTACATGGGAGATTCACACACTCAAGAAGCAATGCAGTGTCTTATGTAAAACCATCTTTAAAATTTAATGCTTATCTTGTTATATCATTGCATGATTAGATTTAAATACAATGAAAATATAGCTGTATAGCTTCACACAGCAGATTTAACAAACCCTATTTACTGCTTATCAAACCAAGCGGTAATAAAAAGGCACTTATTAAGAGCCTGTGCATGATTTCGAAATGAGAGAGTTATCTAAAAGTACACATCACTTGTTCCTCATTTGAGGGATGATAACGATGCATGGCCAGGTAAGGATGGTATACTGTGAGAGGTTAATTTCCCAAAGTAGAAAAGAAGTCCATGCCTAACATGAAACTACACATAAAACACTAAATCAATTTTTCTGAATCCTCATCTTTCACTGACCAAAGCCAACATAACACATTATGGCAATGTCTATTATTCAATTTCAATGTTTCATTGTCTGTAGTCATGTTTACCGTCTGCTTGATTGATCTCTGCCATTTCCAAACCAGACATATAACTCATAGTGAGCCACACATGGTAAAAAGTAATACAACATCCTATAAAAGGAATTGGAGTGTGGTGGTTTTCAACGATTTTCTTAATTTATTCAGTAGGACAAGAGTTTCTAAAATATTGTAGAAACATCTTTCTTTTGTCAGGTAAATACAGGGGAACATAATGGGAAATTAGGGGATCCAAATCACCCCAGAGTGTTCACAGATTAGCTGCTAGCACTGACAGCCACTGTGCACCCAAAGCAAGCTGCTTCACATGTATCATCAGTCAGACCTTGGATACCAAAAGCAACAATTTGGAGCTCTAATGAATTCCTCCTCAGTTTCAGTCACATGACCCGGTTGAGGGAGGACTTCCCCTAACTCTGAACTGCCTGATCTGGTGAGTGGGTTTCATAGAGGGAGGGAAGCTGTATTTGGGGGAAGATCTGTACTTATGATGGCTATCCTGTACTAATGGAAGTAGAGGGGAGAAAATCTTTACTGGGTGGGATTGACTTGAGAAGGGAGGCAATGTTTTTATTTTCTTTCCTCTACTGACCTGTGCATTATACTCTCCTGATCCCTGCACACTGTGTGTTACATACCCCTGGCACCTGAAGACTGTGCATTTCATTCTCCTGAACCCTGTAATCTGTGAATTACATACCATACTCCTAATCTCAGCACTCTGTGTTATAAACTTCTAATTCTGTATTCTGTATATTATTCCTGACCCCTGCACCCTATATGTACAACCGGTGCTAAGTAGTCTCTGACTATGTTAACCTCCCTAGCGGTCTGATTATGTCCATATTTCTGTGCTCAAAGTGGTACTTTTTTTTGCATGGAAATATGTATTTTTTTTATTGTAGGCCTGTATTTTTTAGGAATAACTCACTGAAATCTGCCCGAACAAGAGTCTAGTAAACATCCCGGGTATGTTAAAATTTGAAACACGAAATCATAAATTATAATTTAATAAATAATCATAAAAAAAATAATAATATAATAATAATAATACATTTAATTCAATAATATAATCAAACCAAAAACACTGAAATTTGAAATATAGCGCCAAGTTCGCACATCGCTGAGCAAAGTCGCAAAATCGTTTTCAGTGTCGGATGACAAATTTCCCTAATGAATCATTATCACTCAATTCTGCAAGTGGTTCTAATTTACTATCGCTGTTCTGTCTAAAACTGCTTTTGACCTAAAGGGACTCTTTTTGGACGCCATGGACGTTTCTCAGTTTCCAGGCAGAAAGAACAGTAAAAATGCAGGTAGGGCGCAGGACAAAGCACTCGGGGCAAAATGTATGTGAAATGGTTTGATGCAGTAATGTTTTATTATGTGATTTTAGTGTATTTAGTGAATGTCACTTTTTCACATTTTTAAATTTCCCACCGTTCCATCCCCCGTACGTCCTGACATCACAGGGAACGGAACCTGGAAGACAGATGTCGGCATCGGCCGGAGGAGATTGCCGGGGACACTGCAGGAGGGACATCGCGGGAGCGCAGGACAAGGTAAGTGAAGAACAGATCCCAGAGCAACGCTGCAGGGTATTCCCGAGTGTAGCACGGAGTTACCGCTTGTGGTACTGAAACTTTACCCCGAGCTACACTCGGGAATACCGCCAGGGGGGTTAATGAAATTCTTCTTCAGGGTCGTCTGTGTGCAGAAAAGCATATGCATTGGAAGAGTTTATTTTTTTCCACAAATGTTTGTTCAGAGCTTTGTACATGGCTGTTAGACTCCTGCTTGTGGCACAGTAATGAGAGCTTATTTCTTGTTAAAAGGACTGTGGCATATGTTGCATAATGAGTAGGCACAGGTTTTGAGCCCCTCCCAAAATTAGCACAATTTAGCCACACCCACAATTCACAGAATTATTCTCCTCTGGGTGCACCAAGGCTGAATGTCCCTCCCCCAGGAAAAAAAAAAATATCTACAGTTCTGGAGAAATATGGCTGGGCTAATGACTGAATGGCTAGGTTAATTAACACTGTAAAAGAGGAAGTGTACACTTTGACTCAGGCAACTGAAAACTTGCAAGTCATTTTTCTTTGGACCACATAATGATAGGAAATTATATGCTGCTGAGAAGGGTTAACTTGAGTTGGACATGTTGTTTGTCTTGAATGGACAAAGCAAGGTATGCTTTAAATTTACAGGAGTCACATATTACAATAGCTGATTTATTATGACAGCGCAGCCTGCGATGGCAATATACGAAAACAAAACCACATTATAAGTAATCTGATTTCAGCCTACTATAGCTAGATAAGTAAAACGTGTAATATGATAAAGGTTACTGCACTTTGCACTATATAATAAAATAAACCCACGGGTGATGCTACAATGTCAGTGTAAGGATAGGGAGATGAGAATCTTTTCGGATCACTAGTCCTTGTTTAGGGTCAGCTTCTATATAACAAAAGTAGCCTACCTGCCTACTAAAGTCTAAGTATAATCTGTGCTCAATGGCTGAATGAGGAGCCAGGGGAGAGCTTGCACTTACATTAACAAAAGGAACAGAAGCTTTGGTTATAGCATGTTACAATAATAATAACCCACCTGTTTAGATGTTTTCATTTTATAGATCTATTCAGAAAATGTAAATCTCTGTTGCTTTTAAATTAATTTATAAATAGCAATTATCAAGATGCATGTGCATTGTTATTATACCTATAGGTTTTAACAACCTAGTTTTTATTTTTATCTTTATTAAAGATAAAATGCATATCTAAACCCAAGAAAAAAAGGGAATACTTTGCAGCTCATCAGCGCTTTGATACGGTGGCTACATTCGTTTTTTCCCTCTTTATTTTCACCTGACAAATACAAACTTCCTATCCTAAGGTGACAATGTTTAATCACCATACCATACTGTGGAGAAGCAGCTTTTTCCCCTTCAGGGCAGGACTACAAAACATACCTCCCCATAACATTAGGGAGGTGTTAACACAAATTAATTAATTAAATTAATGTTAAAAGTCAACAGAGGCAGACAACACCAAAGGTTATGTGCTCACAAGATTTCTGTCTTATCAGACAGTTATAGAAAAATTATTTCAATTGTATATTTAGCAGAGTCAGGTAGCCCATAGATGGATCAGTTTTTTTTCATTCAACTAGCAGGTTGAACAAAAAAACTGACTTGATTCCCCAACCACACATTTGAGGTAAATGGAAGGAAATTTCCCTGCTGAGCTATTGTAGTCTTACAATGGGGAGACTTCCCGCCAACAAAATACCCTGGTCATACCTGCCAGCTATAGCTGGCGGTGCTGATCAAGTGGCTAAAATCCAAAAGGATGGTTGTGCAGAAGTTGATAAATATTGATTCATTGTTAAGGTTTACATACACTTTAATTAAAGTCAGAAGAATGCCCATAAAGAAAGATTAATGCCCTGTCCCAACCTTGCCAAACTAATTTTGCCAACCAAAACCAATCCTGTATAGTACATCTGGTTGCTATTTCATTGCAAAATGTTTTCAATTTTAATAAGCTCAAGTTGGGCTCTGCTATGTAAGTTGTATCTAAAGCCTAAACTTTTAGTTTGAATAGCGTGGTGAGGGGCTAAAACCTACATCAGGTTCCTATTGCTGCTTTGTCACTGTTTGAGAAATTAACCTCTCAATTTGTCCTGGTGACCATTGTCACTTGAGTGAGGGAGAATTCAAAATTTTTGTTAAAATTTTTTATTAGTACAAGTAAGTAGTGTACACATGTAGAGTATTACCATCAATTGCAAAAAAAAGAAGCACACTCTGATCACAGAGTGAGTATTACATTTTATGATTTATGAAAGGTAGTTATCAAACATAACATCACACAAAAATCAATTAGTAGTGCGTATAAACAGTACATCCAGGAAACACTGTCCCTAGACCTTTCAGCAAGTATGCTCAAAATTAAGTTACATAGAGTGTAAATTTCAAATATACTGTAAGTCATTGTAATATAGGAGGACTAGAGCAGGGGGGAGAAAAATGATAAAGAAGGAGAATAGGATAGAAAAGGGTAGGGTTGGAGTTGTATCTCTCCAGACAAATCTGCATGGGCTACGCAAAAAATCTGCGTATGGGATGGCAGGGTCAGCTCAGGGTTCAAGCAAGCATTGGTCAAAGTTCAGAGGGAGGTAATTATCAACCCACGGTTGCCAGATTTTCAGGTATTTAGGGATATGGTCTAACACTGTGGCCTCTATCTTGCTGTGGAGGAATTAAAATTTTCAAATGATTAATTATCATCAGGACAGAAATAAAAAGAAATTTTCAAACAATGACGCTTGTTTCAATGTTATCTGTGTAAGAGGGAATTTCCCTCTCTTTGGAGAGATTTCCTCTCACTACCTGTTTTTGTCTATAGAACACAAAGCAAGGGGAAATCTTCCTAAAGAAATATGCAGTGTGTATAACTATAAAAATCATCCCATCCATTGCTCAGATTATTGGTTACTGTTTCAGAAATAAGAGTTTGTTGCAGTGTACTTTTGGAGTTCTTGGATCTCAGGTCATTTGCATATTTTCTGTATTAATGGCACAGCAGTGTAATTTTTTTGTTAATACATTTACGGTGATGGTTTACATTTAGAAGCTAAAGCCTAGTACATATGATGAGAACACTGAGAAAATTGTGAGAAAAAAAGTTTTCGTAGCAAACTTTCAATAATCTGATCATTAGTTCACAACTTTTGAGACCCGATCACAACAGTTCATGCTAAACTATATTGTGTCTTACAAGAATTTTGGTAATTCTAGTAACCTATTTGTTTTCTATATGAGACTAGCATGAAAAAAAAAAAAAGAAAAAGGACAATAATTTGCTTGGTATTCTCAACGTGTGTACAAGGCTTAAGTTAAGGGTAAGGGAATATATACATATATATATATAGCCTGAAACACCCATTTACAAAAGCATGTCAGCAGCCAGCATGCAGTGCAACTACTCTATAGTCCTCTTCATCAACTAACATTGAATTGTTGAAACATAGTGTAAAAGAAAATATTGTGCAGCACTTTCTGAATGATTACCCGGTATTTATTTGTTAATACGGAAACAGGCCTAACAATTGGGCTCATAGAAATCACTGTTGACATCTCTGCTCTACTGAATCATTTATTGCTTACTGTGACTGTGTGATTTGTAGTTCTGTAGCCACCTACTGTATATATAATGTACTCTGTGATTAGCCTTATGATTCAGGCAAGTAAAAGTAATGTTTACCTGAAATCTATGTCTATAGATTGTCCACATTATATGTCACATTCACCCACTTGGAGCCTGAGTGCCTTGTTAATCTCACAAATTGTAATGTACAATAAAAGCATACTTTGGCAGAAAAAAAAACAATCATTAATCTTTTTTTCTGACATTTTAGATACTTTGATAGAAGTTAATGATATGTTTGTCTCAATGAGTCAAAGCTATGGAAGTAATCTTTGACAGAAACTCAGTGGAGTTACTTCTCAGAGAAAATCTTATCAAACTATGTTTTCACAATACTGTTGAAAAGTTGACAATTTAATAAAGGATGAAGTAATTACCCAAACATGTCAAATAGGAAATTAGCCAATTTAGATCTTGCCCAATGAGCCTGAAGGTCACTCCAAATAACATTAACCCTTCAAGCCTGGTATGATATCCAATCGTCTAACTCTCTAGGCACCAAACTAATAACTACCCCACTGAATACGTTACTCCTCACTACACCCTCCCTAAACCTCCAACAATGGGACAATTGTGGTATAACTCATATACAAGACCTATGCACAGACCATAAACTAGATACATTTTCGATTCTTCAAAAGAAATTTAACCTTCCCAACACTGAATACTTCACCTACTTGAGAATAACCCACTCTCTATAAGCAGTAAAAATCCCGTTCCTCTCAAAAATCCCCACTACCGCATTCAATTTTTTCAACAAACCAAAATACCCAAAAAAAGGTATTTCAACTTTTTACACGCACGCAATAAATACACAATTTACCCTTCAAAACTACTTCTTTAACCAATTGGGAGAAAATTCTCTCGCATCCAATAACATCGCAAACTTGGGAAAAAAACTTTTTAAAATTACATACCAAGCATCTAAATGTAGTTCACATTGGGAATCTTACATGAAAATTTTACACCAATGGTACTTAACACCCACCAAACTCTCGCTATACTACCCACAGCATTCCCACGCCTGTTGGAGACTTTGTGGTGAATCAGGCTCCACATTTCACATAATATGGATGTGTAATTCACCCAGATCCTATTGGAATAAGATCTTTCAATTGATCTCAACACTTACGGGAACTTCAATAGCTCCAAACCCTGCCTTAGCCCTTCTCCACATCGGAATAGTTGATTTCCCAAAAGACTCTTGTACGGTCATTATTCACACTTTGGCAGCAGCCAAAATTAATATTACCAAACTATGGAACACCACTAAAACTCCCTCTATCAACTCACTATTAACAGACCTCAATTGCCAATGTGATATGGAAAGAAGATCAGCCCTGAACAACTCCACATATCACTCATTCAAATTTCAATGGTCCCATTTGTTACAAAATCCAAACTGCTCTGTAAAATCCTGATAAGTCAATTTTTGTTTAACATTTAGACCCCTACCTCTAGACTGGTGCACTTTCCCCTTCCCCTTCCTCCTCCCCATCACCACTCACACTCCCTTCCTTCACCCCCCCCCCACATTGTAACCTG